TTTCCGTTATCCTTTTTTTTAACATACCTGTAACGAAAGAGAAAAAACGAAAGCTTAGTAATATTAAAATAACGGGTGTGCATGTATATAAAAATGCTTTCTTTAAAGATGAATCAAAAATAATAATAATAATAAGCCATCTTGTTGCTATTATAGGATGGTTTTTTGAGAGCAATGTCTAATTCAATCATATTTTGTTAAATAAACTTTGGTTGTAACCAAGGCACGGAACCAAGGATTTTTTTTTTATTTTTCAAATTATTTGGTTTCTAAACTGTCAAATATTGTTAATTTTTTTTTTACAAAAATTCCTAATTGGCAAAACGTATTTGCATGGGAATCTACAAAAAAAAAAAAACTCAGGGTCATAAACGCCCTACAAAAAAAGAAAACCGCACCAATTTTTAGTTTTTTAATTTAAATTTTTAGTTAAATTTTTGTTTATATTTCACATCGCTCACTATGATAGTTAAAAGATGAGACTCTTTTTAATCGACTTCCGAAAAGGAGGAGGTTATCAGTTTGTCGGAGAATTTTTTTTTTTTATGTACATAAGTTACCGCATAACTTTGGACCACGTCAACCGATTTCGATAGTTCTTTTTGAAACGGAAAGGTAGTGTCTCGGAGGTGACCCCATAATATACATATGTATATATATATATATATTTTTTTAAGTCGTTTGTTTTTGCTAAAAATTACTTGTTGTCACTTTAGATACCAGAAGAAGCAGAAATGGTTAAATAAACAATTGGGTATTATTATTGGAAGGCTCCTGACATCAAATGAATGATATCGATTTGGTGAAAAGTAAACGTTCATGTCCACACCTGATCGGAAGATCGAGCTATCTCAGAAAACTTATTAAGAACGCCTTATTTCAGCACTGTAAAAAAATTGTTTTTTTTTATAGAGATGCTGCGATACGGATGTGTTTCGCAATATTATACAGTTTTTTGTTCGAAAAAGATACGAGCGTTAATTATGAACAATACGATTTGTTAGTTATGTATCTATGTAGAATGTATGTACATCCATCGTATTGTTCAAAGACCTTCCCATTTATACTGTTGCGCTTTTTTTATCTTATGTGGTATAGAATATAATTAAAAAATCCAACAACAGCTTTCAATGTTGAATGATAAGTAAGAACAAAAAAAATATAAGCGCCAGTTTTATTACTTACCTACTTTATTTCTTCTGTCTGCAGTTATTCAGACTGTGTTCTGGCACATTCAATACAAAGAGTAAAAGAGTATTGGCACTCACTCAATCAATCAAGTCATACGTAAGCCGATTACTTAGACCCCGGTTGCGTGGAGTCTGAATGACTTAAACCAAATCAAATTCTAAGCACAAATCTATGAATAGCATACTTTATTGGCTACTTAATAATCAATATCTTTGTATTTGGTTTTAATTATCTTTTTTTACCTATTTCTTTTTTTTTTTTGCACTGAGAATTGTTACTCAGCTTTTATATTCGATGTGCCACTTACGTCACAGTTTATACTTGGAGGCATACATATGTATGAATAAAACTTGTGTTTAAATGAGCTCACCTGTTAATCACACTACATACATATCTACCTCCTTCCAATACAACAATACATTTACGCTACGCAGCAGTTTTCCTTCTTTTTAAAGTTTTAAAGCGTTTTTTTTTGCTCGCTAATTTCGACTCACTTTTTTCCATAAAAAAAACTTAATTATTATGGAAATCGTATTAATAGGTATTTTGTTGGCATCACTCACTCGGATGACTGCATTAATTGCCACACATTGCACATAGTACGAATGTGAATTGATTTTGTTGTATGCATAGAAATAAGTTGATGATGTAAGCAACAAACACACAAAATTTCAGCCACAGCTTATTCCACAATTTATTGGAAAAAAAATTTGTAATTTAACCAATTCGTTATTAAATTTGCCAAGCAACCAAAAATGAGCGTACGTCAGCTCACCAAAGGATAAGAGATTTATTGTCCCATATGTGGATAATGCTGATTAGCAAAATAAGAATAGACTGATGATAATAGACAGTCCGACGGAAAGGCCTGCAGCTGAGGCACCACCGCTGAAAGGCTCGCATTGCCACCACTCATTAAATGTATGCCATTCATTCATTTGTGTCTGCCCACACACACAAATGGAGATATATTATATATGTATGCATATGTCAGCTATTACCACTACTACATCGCGCACTATTATGATTTCTATATACTTCATTTACATTTTCACTTTTTATTCCTTCACAAATAAGAATAGCCACTTTTTTATTAAACATCACAGGGCCTATCAACGTTATAGTCTAATGCTTGTTTGCTGCGTCCAACTGTGTTCCACATTTGCATTACTTACTTACTATGTACTGTGCAAAAAATCATAACAAGCCCACAGCGTATAGACACAGGCGAAATAACCCTGTCGGGAAACGTACCGAGTGCCGAGCTACATCGTTCTGTACTAGAGAATTTACACTCTAAAAAAAAAAATTGTGTAGATTTCCTACCTAAAAGGTAGGTTACTGAATAGTTTGTTTAAATTTCGGACTTTTTAGAGCGTAATATAGCTGCTGTGGTGTGCGTAAATTTACTACGAAAGTGTGTACAAATTACAAAATACACATCTGTTGTCTGATTTCCACCGTAGAATTGTGTAAAGCCGCTAACAAAAAGGATTTTGACACACGAAAATGTGGAAACGAGAAAAATACATTTCCATCGTGTAAATTTACCAAAAATTTTTAAAAATAAACAAAAATATACTCAATTTAAAGTCGCATTTTTAAAAACAGAGTTTTTAGTGTGTACAGCCATGACTAGTGCGCGTTAATTCTCTTTTGCACGCTAGAAATTGGCGAATTTAGCATTGCGATTTCCTACTAGGAAGTGTCAATTGCCTCCTACTGCATCCCTTTTTCGATAGTTCCAAACCAGTTCCAAAATCGACAGACGAAAAAAAAGTATCATGATATTTCAATCTTTATGGTTCTTGAGTGTGTGCGATTTTAATCCCTTTTTCGATAGTTGCGAACTAATTCTAAATTCGACAGATAAGATCTACTTCGTTCTGCACTCCTTTTTCTGTAGTTCCGAACCAGTTATAAATTCATCACTTTAGATATAGATTGCTAATGAAAAAAGTGAAATAAAACAATTTTTTAAAAGTACCACATATCGCTAATTTTGGGACTGGTGGGAGGAATCTATGTAAGTAGTTTGATAAACTAGTTCGCGGTTTCCCTGCCGGGAAACGTTGGCAACACTTATGCTTGCAACATACAAAAATACAGACACAAAACATTCATACATATATACGTATATATGTACATAATGTACGTATGTATGTGGGACACATTCGTATTCATTTCAACTCATTGACAGCAGGAAGAAAAATGGGAGCACTCTCTACATGGCCCAACCTTGTACCAGTAAGCGGCACCACTGTGAAGCAGAGGCAGAGAAGGAAGGGGTTCCGTTTGTTACATATCCTGGCCAGAATTAATAGCAGCGCAGGCTGCCTTTCATTAATGAAGAAAAAGTAAACGAGAAGGCGTTGGGGCAGCAGCAATACGAATAGTAGTACATAAAATAATATATGTACTTTATAGTAAAAGTCTGCGGGAAAATGACAATTCATTTAATGTCTGTTCACATTCTTGAGTTTTATTTTAATTTTAAATTAGATAAGGTTGTAAGTAACGTTGAAATATAAACATGAAGACGGCTACGAAACGATAATCATGACTATATTGTAAGCAGCATCATATAGAAGCAAATCTATGTCGGCACCGACGAAAAAAATTTCATTGCACTCTGAGAAAATAGGTCCTTTAAATGACTTAAGAAAATTTGCCTGCTAAAGAGTTAATTGAGAAAATGCGCCGGTACTTCGATCTCCGCTATCTCTAACAGAATCATTCCTGCAATTAGTTCGGTCACTTCCACAACAGCTCCGACCATACCAAAGGCTGTGTCTGCTTTCCATCGATAAAACTCCTGCAGTGGAAGGTTGTGGATATGAGCTTTAAGAGCTTAAGAGCTTTTTAGAAGCAATCTCTGGGATCTCAGCGCTTTAGAATTGTTTCGAGCCTTACGAGTCAGAAGGGCCTTGAGAGTTCACATTCATATTGTCATTTATCGTGGTAACTAGATCTCTAAAATCGGTAGCAGATATTGGTACTTCGAGGCAGTCGTGCAGCGCTCTTAAAAATTTTGTGTACAGTTTATATGTGTGACGCGAGGGCAGAGCTTCCTATGGAATTTATATATGTATGTACGGCTGACACAAATAGCAATCCCTAGCCAGCATAGATATTTTTAAACGATCTTTCTAAGCTTTCCATATATTTACATAAGCGTACGTAGAGCAAAGTACCTACTCACGACCAAAACCAATCCGGCCTCAGCTGGTTTTTATAGATTTTTTGTGGTCGTCCTGACGCAGAAGATGTTAGAGATGTAGTAAACTTTTAAATCCTTTACATTCGGTCTTCCTTAAAGTATTTCGCAATGGATTAGAGCTTCGCACACTTTTTCAGGAGCTTTTCAACTTTTGTCCCTAAATCACGCGAAGCTTAATACATATTGCCTTTCTTGTGGGAGCAAATCGAAACATATATGTACTACCGTTTTAATTTCATCTACATAAAAAACAAGAATATTGGCTGAAAACTTTTAGCCTGTCATCAGACATAACATGGCCTCATTAAATGCCTTACATGTTGCTTTGTAGTACAGCAAAACGCAATCATAAATTATTCAAAAACAACAAATTGCAATTAAAATGCCATGTTAGGATGTACAAAATGTCCCAGAGCGTCAACACTCTGCAGGCACGGAAGGGGATTGTAGTTATGCAATGCAATGAGACGAACCATCCATCATCAACGCAAACAATTTAAGGATCCACCGACGCAATAGCATGCAGCAGTAGTTCATTCTAAGTCAGCCAGTCTCCATCATTGTTTCTCGCTCGCAGTTGTCAACGATAATGAAATGTGGCACGTTTGCGAGGCGCAACCTAACCGAGACTGGCATACATGGCTTGCCATATTTGACGCGCAAGGACTTGCACTGGGCAGAGCGGCTGTTTTGGTTGGGCATCGTCATAGCGGCCACTTACTACTCCATTTACATCTGTCTGGATCAAATGAAACGTTTTCGCGAGAATCCCATTGTATTCGCTGCCGAATTGACTTGGGATAAGAGGAATTTCCTCTACGCGGGCATCACCATGTGCAGTGACTTTCGCAACGAAGTAGCAGAACGCGAAATTATCGAAGAGTGAGAAATAACCGAGGAGCAAGTCACAACAATCTTCCCACAGCGACTCAAATAATTTCCATTTTAGGCTGTGGCACCTTTCGCCCAACGATACCCGCCGATACGAGTATTATTCGGATTTCTTGAAAGTGCTCAACGTACTTCATTACGATTCTTTGAGCACTTTGCTGCCATACCAGAATGACTCGACGCTATGGAACGTGAATTATGTAGATGTGTTGGTGAAGGTGAGAACTTGAGAAGTCCCGAAAAGAGTTTACCAATAATTTTGGTCGTGTGAGAGTAGGTAGGTATTTAGAAGGGTTCAGTTGTTTGAAAAAGTAAAGCTTACGAGGCCACCCATCTGTAAGACGTCGTCCATTGTTCTTAAAGAAACCACCATTTTAAGTCTAGGCGCATCCAGGCACAAATGATTTAATATTTGATTTCTAGAAATAATGCCAAAAGGTGCATAAAAAAAATTGACTGGATGTACTATACTTAATTAGAATGACTTAGCTGAAGTATGTTGGGAAATCAATTCATATTTCTATTGAAATTGAAAAATTTAACGAATTTTAGCTGAACATGAAAAGATAGAGAAAGATTTAGTTTAGAAGGGTCCTTGGTATGGGGTTGCCACCCATCGAATCGTGGCGGAATAGGAACACGTTCTCAAAGCATTTGCCACCTAAGCATAGTCATATTTTTCTTAAATTCGTTCCAGTTGCAGCGACCTGAAGAGCAAGCAGACGGATTGCTATCGAAGTCGAAAAACATCTTATTCGCTCTGGCCATGACTGAGGTTGGTCTGTGTCGTACAACATCGCAGCTCAATAAATACACGAATCCCAGTGGAGAAATGTAATTTGATTACGCAGATTAACAGAGAAAAAACTTACGATTCCTCATTACTTTTTGCAATATTTATAATTTTATTTTTTTTTTTTTTAATTTTCCTACTTAGTATTTTATTGAAATTCCCTATTGAGAATTGTGAGATATGTACCTTTATTTTTAGAAAAACTATGGAAGTTAGCCCTGTGCACTACTGTCTTTTCATGAGCATTTGCAACACGAAGCTATATCCAGAATATCCAGACGATGCGGGTGTATTCGTGGTATGTGTGTTAGTCTAACTGGTGATTGGGCCTAATATTTATTATTAACACAAAAAATTGCGTGATCTTAATGTTCTCTTTTTGAATCTATGCGAATATCTTTCTCAACAACCCAAGTTTCTCTTTCCAGTATCTGCACAATCCCTACGATGTGGTTTCGCCCGGCCATATAACCAACGTCTACCAGACAGCTGCACCAGGCAGAGTTTTGACCGTTGACTTGGAGATTAGCTCATTCAGCGCCGAAGATGAGGTGCGCGATTTGCCATCAGAGTATCGAAAGTGTCGCTACCCGGACGAAAGTAATCTGCAGTATTTTGAGGTGATCGCCAAATCACTAAAAATGAGAAATAACTCGTTTTTTATTCGAGAAATTTTATTGTCTTCACAGACCTACACCACAGCTTTGTGTTGCATGGAACGTCGCATTCACAGAGCCATAGAGCTCTGTAAGTGCAAGCCGCACTTCTATGTTGTGGCGCCCGATCTGCCCGTTTGCAACATCGATCAGCTGCTGTGTTTACATCGTCAAAATTGGTCGCAGACAAACTGCACCGATTGCGTTCAGCTCTGTGAGTATATGTTCTATGTGCAGCTGCAGCAAAGCCTTTCGCCCTTCTTACAGGTAAGCGTACGTAGCAAGTAAAATCGTTAACGGCACATACAGCTTTCTTCCACTCTCTCTTTTTACCGGAATAGAACGAGGGTTTTCTCAGCCAGAAATTCGAACGCACCGTCGTTATCCAACTTAGTCTGCCCTATCGAGGCATACGTCGGCGTGTGGTCTTCAGCTCTGACCAGTTAGTGGTCTCTTTTGGCGGTGCGGTTAGCCTCTTCCTGGGCGCTAGCTTCATGACCTTCAACACAATGGTGAAACTCTTTGGCGAATTTGTTGCTCTCAATTGTATGTGCTTTTGGCGGCAACGAAGAGAGCGGCGAAAGCGCAGGAAGCTGGTGCGTGAAGTGAGGGCCTTTTAGAGGCACCAAAAATAAAGGAAATACCACACAAGTCGTGCTTTCGTGGGGAATGGTCTCAATATAGTATAGAATTGAGTAAGCATATTTTATTGGCACTGCTGACACAATCAGTTGAGTTATCGATTTTTTGTGGCGCATTTCTGTTTTCTCTCAGTTTGCAGAATGATTGCCGCTAATGCGAACAAAGCTATCACGTGACACAAAAGCTGCTTGTAATGAAATGGCAGTTGAAATTATACAGAAAAATGAAATATGTCATCGCATCGAAGGGTAAAATTCAAAAAAAAAAAATCGCTTCTCTTTTCACTCGTACACTTTTTGCTTTTAACTTCACTGCAATTCGCGCTTGCG